AAAAGTCATAACCAGACTGTGCTGAATGAGCTTAACGTTCTGGTATATAAATTGTTGAAATAGCAAAACAATTGCAGACTGTACATAATGAAAAGTGTATCTCTAGTGTGATGGTTTAATAGCTTTCACACAATTTTCCCAAATACTGTTTAAAGTCATCACAGCATGAAAACTTAGTATTTTTCTGTATTTTTTTGTCACTCCTCCCCTTAGTCTCACTTCATGCAGTGCAGCGAGGACAACGAGGATTTTGCTAGTGTTCACTGTGAGGTGTTCGAGTCGGCCCCACCGATGACCATGGCTCTGTCTGTGTTGGTCACCATTGAGATGTGCAACGCCCTGAACAGGTAAGACTGCACTCTGTACTTCTTTTACCTGTTTGTTCTACATTGTGCCTTGTTTTCCTCCCCAGCCTGTCGGAGAACCAGTCCCTGGTGCGGATGCCGCCCTGGAGCAACGGCTGGCTGATGGCCGCCATGACGCTCTCCATGTCTCTTCACTTCATGATCATCTACGTCGACCCCCTGCCTGTGAGTCTTCAGCTTCACCATGAGTGACTCAGATGTATTTATCACAGTCATATAATGGGAGCATCCAACAAGGTTTGAACACGTGTTGCTTTATAATCTGCAGATGATCTTCAAGCTCACTCACTTGAACGTGGAGCAGTGGATGATGGTGCTGAAACTTTCCTTCCCGGTCATCCTTCTCGATGAGCTTCTCAAGTTTGTGGCTCGCACATATCTGGAGGGTGAGCTTAAACCCTGACTTGTTTACCAAATGCATTTTTCATTGCTTTATCCGTTTTATGCACATTTTATGTACAAACATTTGCGGTAATCTTGATCACCATTTGTAATTTAACACATGAAACTGCATGGTAAATGTTGAATATGATGGCTAAATATTACTTTTCATCTATAGTTACTCCTTAATAAAGTGTTAAAAGTGATTTTACCTCCCTATTAAATGTCCTTTAATCTACATTACCTGTTAACCTCTCCCTCTCATTTTATTCCAGTCATAGTTTTAATTTCCTGTCTTCTTGTTCTCTAATTTGTTCCTCCTTGGATGCTCCTCCTCTTTTTTCCCTTTATGACAACCCAGTCTAAACCCACCTCTCCTCCTCCATACCCCTGTAACACAATAAGGTATATCTCCTGACTCAATTAAAACAAGTTCCTCTGCATTGTGTGCATCAAGACCTCTGAATCCTGAGCTCTCTGCATCGTACGCACAGTGGCGTTGCAAACATGATGTTTATTTCTGGACGTGAGAAAATGTCTCTCAGATTTGGCATGCTCTTTGTGTTTTGCCTTGGCTTTCATAAAAACCAATATGATGCATTTTACTAACAAGCAACTATTAAAAATGTTCTTGGATTATTCCTAAAAAATAAAAACCTAACCGCTTTTTAATTTTGTTTCCACAAACACACACAAAAAAAAAAATCAACTTGTCTTTTGTGCATCGACAGAACCTGGACTTTAATTAGGATTTTCTCTGATGAGCTGAATAATAAAACTAAAAGTGAGCAAATTACTTACTTACTTACAAATTAACTTGTGCTTTTAATGAAATAATTAGTTGGATATTTTGGAAACACAAGAAGTCAAAAATCAATCACAAGAGGAAAATGACCTCAGCTATTTGAGGTTTTAATATGACAGGAGTTACTCTCTGTATGGCAAGCCTTTGTAACATATAATCAAACCACACGCCTATCTTTAATTATATTTTTAGACCTCAGTAATAACATTCTTCCTGGCTAAAACAAGCTTTTTATTAGTTCGAACTAAAATAAAAAATTCCTAGTACAAAATAGAAATTTAATGGTTTTCATTACTAATAAAAACAACAGCAAAGTTAATGAAATGTAAAAATATTTAAAACTGTTGTTGTCATTTATATATTATTACTTAGACTGGATATGTATTGCATACATCCATAATCCAATTGTTTCAAGTCAAATCATTTTGTTCAGTTCAGACACGCTAAAAGGTTTTCTTCCTACGACGGGCCACACAGCGAGATTTTTTATTATTATTACGAGATTAAAGTCATAATTTAGTGAGAAAAAGTCAATATTAGGAGATTAAAGTCGTAATATTATGAGATTAAAATCATAATTTTATGAGAATTAAGTCATAATATTATGACAATAAAGTCATAATATTACTAGATTAAAGTCATAATATTACGAGATTAAAGTCATAATTTTACGAGATTAAAGTCGTAATATTACGAGATTAAGGTCATTATTTTACGAGATTCAAGTCGTAATATTAGGCCTACGAGAAAAGTCATAATCATGACGTCTATTTCCCGTTCCTCATTTCCTCCTTATTTTCCCCACACCTGCTGTACAGCCATGTCTCTGCGTTTATAAATTAGTCCATGATGACTCGTCACTGTTAGATTAATATGCTTTCATCCAAATTAGCTACGTGGTGACTAAATCTGTCAATGCATCCATTAATATCAATATGACTTCAGTTTATAGTCGTTTGCACAATTTCCAAGTCCTGCTACTGATAATTTGATGCTAATGTGCTAAAAGATTATTTATTTATAGCTATACTAAAGAACAACTTGACAAGTTGCTCAACATTCCTCATTTTAATGCAGTGGTAACTGCATGCTTTTTCACGTAAAGGCTACAATATTAACTTTTTTCTCATATTACGCCTTTAAACTCGCAATA